ACGGGTCGTGTTTAACGGCGAATTGCATCGGAGAACGTGCAAATAATTCGAAGTATATTGACATTCTGCAGCACGCCACATTGTTATTAACGGACATGCATTTCGAGAAATTGGCGTGAACGCGTAGTACAGCTAGTTATAATATCCAGCATTCCCGGTAACGACCTCGGCCTAAATACATATTGGGTGGTTGGAGAGTATTCGAAGTGGGTAATTACTATTTGGCGTGCAAAATGAAAATTAATTTCCGTCGGGTATTATTACTTTCCGAACGATTATTTGTCCTCGGGTTTTTCGAGCCTGACGACAGGCGAAGGGAGGACCGAACACCCGTCAGAGCAGAAATGCAATTTCTGCCACAGCTTTGAGGGGAAAGTTAACCGTGATTTTTGCATAGCTTTCCAGTCTGTCCAGAGTTACGAATTTTAATTCAGTTTTACATTAATACTTTGTAAATATCTAGTGTATTAAAAGATGTTGTCTCGTACGCAAAGATGCGAGGATATTGAACCCAATACCAGGATTGGAATGCCGAATCTACCGACCGACAGGTACTAATCACGAACACCTTCGGTGGACAACCCCTGCGCCATCTTAATATTGCGTAGGTGGTTAGGATTGATGTGAAATAAATAATTCCCTAAATTTAATGGATATCATGCAGAGTATATTAATAACAAATTACGACACAAGTTAGTCGTTGAATCAAGAAATCTTAAAAAGTCTGTCGCTTGAGATATTTAGCAAAGATTACAAAGAAATATTTAGAAATTATTCTATGCTACTAGGGAAACTCTCCGCCTTGTCCCAGGTCATGAAACATCAGCATGATCCGTCCACGCAGGACTCTGCCTCGGTATTAAAGAAAGAAAATTCTTTCCCGTGTATTCGAAATTATTCGCGACTTGATTCGATACGAAATGCGAACATATGATTATTACTGTACAACATCTGATGTAGCTACGTATGCAAAAAGTACTTTTTTCTTTTTAATAAGCGGTGACGGCTGACAAGGACGAAAATGATCCAGGGCGCTGTAACGAACATTCAAAAGGGACGGGTATTACATTCCATGGCAAATGGAAAGTAATTCACATGGTGCGCGTTATTACTTTCCGAATAATTATTAATAATTCCCGCGTTCGTGGTTTTCTCTAGTTGAGTGCCGTACCAGGTGATGTAAAATGGCGCCACAAGGGATTTATTTTTTGTTAATACATAAAGGCAAAAGTTAACATTTCATGCATAGCTTTCCAGTTTGTTAGGAGTAACATATTTTAATATAGTTATCCATATGTAATATCACGGAATGAACATGGAACAATCTACACGTGTGTACCTGTACTTCAATTTTTGTTTCGTATTAAAATGAATATAAACGCGTGTTTCGGTCTAATGTATTTGCGGGTAAAGGTATAATGCCCTGTAGTACGAGGATGGAAAAACCGTATTATAAATCCCCAAAAACGAAATGGAATATTCATTCGACGTTTCGGATTATTTGTTTCCGACGGAAAACGAAAAATAGGGTGCAAAAAGAGTCGCGCGTTATTTTCTCAATAATGATTCGCCCTCGAGTTTTTCCGTATCTACGTCATATGTAACGAAATATAGTCCTTTACGAGAGGTTATTCACTCAAGAATTCACAGACGTTAAGGTGAAGTGAGACACGTCGAGGAACTTGATCGACGTAGGTAAAGAAGATTTTTCTAAATACCTACGTTGGCGACGTTCGTTTTTATATTGACAGCTGTATAGAATTATATTGCGTATAGTACTAAACGGTATACTCGATTTGTCGTTTTCGTACAATAATTATAAAGAAATCGAAATAAAACTCCAGAAATCCTCTGGATTCATGGTTTTTGAAGCCCTAATTGACTGTAGAGGGACCCCCCGCGACATCTGTAATTTGCATGTCAACTAAATTTTCACTCCCAGACCTCGTATTCTCATCGTTTTAGCATAGAAGCGCATAAGACTCTTTTTTTGCCTTTATCTCGTTAAAATGCGAGTTTATCGAGTACCAGAGTGTTCTAAATTGTCGTGCAATTGTTCTGACCCTTTCGTTCCTGATAATAGAGCCTTCAGTAATTGGATATCAATCTAAATATGAGAGCTCGACGCCATTTTGGTTCCACTCTGGGCTAAGTTATACAATTTTTTCAAAAATCCAAATTTTGAATGTGTCAGGACAATTCTTACTATTAGATAATCGCGAGTCATGTGTCAAAGTATAAAATAATACCGAAAATTTCATGGAAATTAGTTGGATATTGCAAGAAGAAATCCCTGGAGATCGTTGGAAATCACGGAAATATTCTCACAACTTTAAGGTCGAACGTCACTTGTTACCGAATCATATTTTTGTTTAACATGTGAAATGAAAGGCAAACGGCTCTCAAAGAAGAAAATCATAGTCACTGATTTCCGAAGGAACAGGCCCTCGATATTACGTCACAAGACTCGTTGCAGGGGTGCAATTTCCGCCTCAACATACAGACAGAAACGAACTACAATATTTCGAGTGTGTTGGGAATTACGCAATGGACGGTCGCGAACGGCGACAAACCTGTGCAGAGCTTTAGCTCGTGTTCGCGTGATCATTTTACTCCATTAACTACCGTACTCCAGCACCATTATCGCTATTATTACCGGGCGCCGTTCCATTGTGCTCCGCCACCTTCTTCATCGATGCGTGCTTGTCCTATTACCCGCAACTTGCCCTTAATGATTCCTCCAATGGCGAGGTTGTGTGGTTAAACGTCCGATTCGTTGGTTTTTTGCGGTTAAGGTGAAGTGAAACTCCCTTCAAATCAGTCGATTCGAAGACAACACTTTTTGTTTACGGGTATTTGACCAAACTGTCCGAAACTTTGACACATCACTCCTGATCATCTAAGAATTGTCCTGACACATTCAAAATTTGGATTTTTGAAGAAATTGTTTAACTTAGCCCAGAGCAGAAGCAAAATGGCGTCGAGCTCTCATATTTCGATCGACATCAAATTATAGAAGGCTCTGATATGAGAAACGAAAGTGTCAGGACAATTTTGCGATAATTTAGAACACTCTGTTAATCAATAAACTCGCATTTCAACGGGATAAAGGCAAAAAAAGTGTTGTATGCGCTTCTATGCTAAAACGATGGGAATACGAGGTCTCGGAGTGAAAATTTAATCGACCTGGAAATCACAGATGGCGCAGGGGGTCCCTCTGCAGTCAATTAGGGCCCCAGAAAGCATGAATCCAGAGGATTTCTAGTTTTACTTCGATTTCTTTATAATTATTGTACGAAAACGACAGGTGGAATATGCCATTTGGTACAATACCCAATATAATTCGACACAGCTCTCAATATAAAAACGAACGTCGGCAACGTAGGTATTTAGAGAAATCTTTGTCGACGTCGATCAAGTTCCTCGACGTGTTTCACTTCACCTTAAAGGCCGCCGTTATTTCGCTGAAAAACTGAACGACGAGCCCCGAGTACACAGATAACGCCACTTCATTATCCCTGACTCGTTTAGTTATTAATTATGTCGGTACTTGCGACCTAGGTATTTCCATCCTCGCCTTTTCTGCAAGAAATTGCAACTCGACGAGTCTTGCCGTTGCAGGGACTCTGCACCCTCGTGATTCAGAAGCGAGTCGGTGAATGCACTTCAATACGAGGACTAAAACGATAACTGGTGCAGCCCAATGCCCTTAAACTTTTCTTACGGATATTTAACGACTTCTGCCTTCGAACCGAGGGGATCCTTTCGGAGCTCCGCTGGAATGGAGAGCCCAAAGTGACGAAATAATGCCGAGCGATATCTCGTTATCGAGCGGAATCGCGCGTTTTCCCGGCTACGGTGAAAACGGGGAAACTGGCAAAACGAGGACAACGGGGGAGACTCTTTTTGTCCTCGCTCGGCCAAACTTTTGCACCAAGTGCGAACTTCTTGTCCGGCAGATTTGGACGCCGGTTGTGGACCGCCTTCGGCTGCTGGATCTGTTTGCAACTTTAAGTACTGCCACTGTAAATTGTTCCCCATGGAACGGTTCTTCTAGAACTGGAATTACGTTAGAGAAATGGAAAACTTAGGGCAGAGATCGTTGAGAAATGTATTGTTGTTCTTCGGTATTCGGTAGATAGGATGGGTATAAATCTGCGAGTGTAGGAGGTGAAATTACCGAAGCGGAGCTACTGTTAACGAGTCTATGTTTTTGTAGGTTTTACCGAATATTAATTGACTTATTGTTCTAAACCATATGTATAGTCCTCAGGGAGACATATAAAATGGATCCAAGTGTTCCGTGTTACGGTGAAACACCGAAATCTGGAGAATGTCGACTTTCACCGGTGAATGTCAACATTCACATAGTCGCTTCGTGTATTTCACTCCTTAATTCTTCACGATTTATCGTGATATGAAATATATAATCACTTGCTTTCATAAATGATATACCGCTACGTTATAAATTTAATATTTAGATTCATATTAATATTTTCTAAGAGTTGCATTATTAATGATTTAATAACTTTAGAATTCATTATACAACCCAGGTTTATTTGAGCACATCTTACCTTCCTTTGACGTTGTTTCAAGAGGCTTGTATCACTTGATAGTGATAGAAGTAATTCCTTTCTTGTCCATGTGTCCGTCATCCCATCAGTTAACTCTGTATGGATGTGATTACTCGAAATGCCGGTAAATACGATGATTAACGCTGTTAAAAGTCAGTAGGACTTGAAAATTACAATTCAGTCCTGACATCATCGGTTGGTCTGATTGTTTGGTTCGGAAAATTCATTAGGAATGCGATAATGAAACTGTAACAAGGGCTTTTGAAGTCCGTCCTTTGTCCGAGTTATTCGCTGGCAGGCTAAATGTGATTAGTAATCAAGGATTAGTAAATACCGGCTTTAAATGTGGCGAAATTAAACCAGGGTGTGACTGAAACGGAGTGTTGGGTCCGGCAGGGAACAAGGCCTCATTGTACCGCATGGATAATTTATTTACAAGAGTAAAACATTATGTACAAGAATGCTTCGTGTGTCGTGTCAAAGTAAAATGGTTTACCGGGGTTAGTGGAACATAGCTAGGCGTTACGTTTACAGCGAAATAATAATCGGCGACATTTTCTGCGTACACGTTCTGCTACTATATATATATATCTCTGTTTTATCCTTTAACATTTATCTCGTAGAAAGTAGTTACAGTAGGGAGATAGATTAGGCATGTTATAGCGTCGTATGCTACTCCAACGTCGACTTTTATACCGTGACACTCATTTACACTTAACACCTTCGAGTGAGTCTATGTCGGCGAACGGGAAGATGTAGAGCCTCGTTCGAACTGAGATCCATTTCTCTTCTTCCAGCAACCGCTTCGCGTTCCCTAAATTCCGAAATCCCGAGAAATCATGGAACACCCTTGCCGGGATTTCTCTTATTCCCTTTTCGGACATCGGCGAAGACGCTTACACCGGAGAGTTCGCGAAAGGGAACGGAAAAGTGGATCGAAATTCCTTGAAAAGAAAGAAGAAGAAAAAAAAATGGCGGATGCGAAGAGGTCGGCCCTTCGAGTTAGGTAAAAAATGGTGTCGCTCTTCGACTCGTGACATGCTGTGGCGAAAATTGCACGTTTCTTATGCATTTCAAACGTACATTTGTATTTCGTAGCAAGTTACTAACAGGCGAAGTCTGCGAGAAAATAGATGACGGTCGATTTGATATTCAATAAGGTGGGTACTTAATAATTTTTTGAATGAATTCAGGAAAAAAAGCCTTGGAGATTCTTGTGACTTTTCTCACCTGTTTAGGGAGAGGGGGGAAACATTGGAACGCAGATGACGATAAAAAAGGAAAAATGTGGACAGTCTCAAAGCTCTTCGCAATCCGTCGACGACAAGGTAGCCTTTTTGTTTACTGTTGTTGGAAAGTGCAATTTTTGCCCCAGCACAGCCATTTTTCGGAATGTTATTTCTTGCTATTGCGACGCGTTTTCGGGTATACCTTTTCGCGTGTGTTCCTTTCAAAGGCGTCATTGGTCGATTTAATTTTATTCAGAGATAGGCGATTTTCGTCTCGTATTTGAGAGCGAGCTTGCATCGTATTTGCATCAGTTTCTAGTTCGATGGAAGTTATGCTAAGCTTTGTACAAAATCGCTCGAAATCCTAACATGTATTGCGACGCAAAAATCTGCGCAGTCGAAGAAAATTCATGAAGTCGATTATATTCCTTGTAAAGTGTCATCGGCACAATCGAGAGAGTTTTTCCTTAAGTACAACGATATCTTTATAAATCATAGAGAATCAATGTCGATAGACAAGCCAACGAGATCTTGATGACTTCTCCTAAAGTTAATCGAGAATTTCGTTAAACCGCAGTTTAATGCATCTTATCCTCACACCTTATAAGAAATGAAATATTCTTAACAATTTAACAGACGATTTACCATATCCTTCAGCTCCCCTTTTCAGACACAAATTGCCAAATCCGAGTTTCTTCAAGAATGTATTTCAATTGACTTCCTACGTTACGAAAAAGTTTATCAGAGCCCTGCATTGGATAGGGATACAGTTTTCTCGAGGCTAATAATTGAAAATCTATAAAAAAGGTGATTAACTATTAATCACTTGGTCTGAAAGGAGAAAAGAAAGATATTTGTGTGGTCGTTTGGCGCGGACGAAACGATTCAAACGGAATAAAAATTATATAGTAACCGATCTGCGAAAGGACGATATGTTTACTTCGGAAGGAACCAATGGAAACATCGTTTAGTGCGAGGAAATGTTCTTTCGAGGGCGAATAAATCGAAGCTGACTCGACATTTAAGCGGAAAGGTCGAAAAGAAAATTGCTTTTTAACGCCAGGCTTCCCTGTAATGGCGTTACTATTAAGGCGCAATTATTGTATCGGCTAGTACAGAGCTTATTATGGAGACTTGATCGAATCCTGGGACTATATACGGCCGTCGTTAGCTGGACATGGTTTACGTTCGATGCACTGTAAATACATCGATAACCGTAAATACTGTGGATCATAATTCATCCTAGTTACATGGGCTCGCGTCCACGAGATGCCCCTTGAATTTTCTCTCGAATTTTCTTTCCCTTCGAAAAACTCAATTTTGTACTCGTACGAAAGAACACTTTCCGGTGTAAAAGCATCGGCACTATCCGACATAACACGATACGATGCAATCGCGATTGAAATTAAAAGACATTAGGAGATTAAAAAGAGCGATTGCATGTTTACAGTATGGTTATCGTCGGATCGATATAAAAAATGAAGAGAAAAATCAATAATGACAAGGTACGAGGAAGGTGGTCTCTGATAAGGAACTCTTTATCAGTGTACAGTCTGATACTTATTTATTTATGGTTTATGAGTCACTTCAATGTGCTCTCTGCGTGTTTGATGTTAATTAGGATATATTGTATCAGATTGTATACTCGGTGTTAAGTCGTGTGCGCTGATTTTATTTATTCTTAAGACGCTGATATATTAAACGGTGAGAAATGTAGACTTCGATAACGTTCGGTCGAGAATTCGCGGATGTCGTGCACTATCGATTGATGTCTCGAAAATATAATTGAGAATATTTCGAACTCGTCCTGTCCGAATCGTGATTTATATGTATGGTAGATATTTACGCACGAACGGCTGGATGTCAGGATAAGAATAACGTCCTGTAGCCCAGGGAAAACCGACAGTGGGGCAGCTTCTTCTTCGGTGTCTTCCGTGATATTCACCAGTTTCAATTTTTCACGGTACAGTGGAAAATTTCTGTCCGAGTCGTGTCGCGGAATATCGGTTTGCGGAAAGATTCCACTGGGAAGGTTCCTTGGTTTTGCAATTTCTCGCAATTCCGAACGTTGCTTACAAGGTAGTCTCGTAAATGGCGGATCTCCGTTTCCCTCGTTTTGCACATGATTTTTCATTGACTTTTCATATTTTTCCTGGCCACACAGAATAATCCCAGTGAATGGATCGGAAAAACCAGATAGATTCCTTGCTTTAGCAATTTCTCGCAATTTCGAACGTTGATTACAAGGTAGTCTCGTAAATGGCGGATCTCCGTTTCACTCGTTTTGCACATGATTTTTCATTGACTTTTCATATTTTCCCTGGCCACAGAGAATAATCCCAGTGAATGGATCGGAAAAACCAGATAGATTCCTTGCTTTTGCAATTTCTCGCAATTCCGAACGTTGATTAAAAGGTATTCTCGTAAATGGCGGATCTCCGTTTCGCTCGTTTTGCACATGATTTTCCATTGACTTTTCATATTTTCCCTTGCCACAGAGAATAATCCCAGTGAATGGATCGGAAAAACCAGATAGATTTGGAACAACTTTCGAGACAGGGCTCTAACTGACTCACTGGAGTTTATTTTTTAGAAAAAAGAATGTTTCGCTCATTTTTCGAGCTCGATGATTCCTCAAATTTGGGAACGTTGGTCTTATGCATTTTATTTAGGTCGCTTCGAAAATGAGAATGTCATCTAATCTCAAGATGCTCTGCAATTCCTCTTGTCGCTCGAAAGACAGTCTTGCGAATCTATTTTACACGTTTCGACTTAGCGGTAAACTTTGCGTCGTCTTTTGATATCAGATTCTACGAGATTTATGTTTCCTCATCTGGGTCGGTTAAATTAATGTAACAAGTATAGGGTCAGAATCTCTTAAAATCCCAACGGGGAGACAAATTCTGCATTTTGAGAAAAATCATGATCTAATTATTTATTTAACTCGAAGTACTTCGGTGCCGCTTTAAAATCAACATATTTAGTTCTGTATACACCGGGGTAAATCCTGAAAGGAATCCCTTTGACATTCCGGAGATTCTTTGCAGGAATTATTTTTCGCCGACGTTTCAATTTCGCCTTGTTCTGTGATATATGTATATATCATCTATAATTTCATTATTCTCGATATTCCACGAGAAATAACGTAATCAGCTGATCGCAGGATTTTCTGCACTTCCCAGTTGCTTGTATGACAGTCTTATAGGTTCTCTCTTTCGCCTCCGCCATCTTGACCCTACATTTTCGGCTTTTCATATTTTTATTTGCGACGAAATGTGTGATATTTCCCGGAGGAGGGTATATCAACGACAAGTCAAAGTTTTGGAACCCGTGAAAACTTTGCAAAGCCACGAGCGGCAGATTATTTCTCGTTATGCATCATTATATTCTGCTCATCATTTCGAGTGCTCCAGAAGGGAAGTCAACGTCAGCGCTTTATTCCTTCGTGATCGAGTAACTCGTTTAAGTCGCTTTTATTATTCGTCTTCAAGCTTTGCAGGGTGGGAAGAGACATCTTGAATTTGGCGTGGAACAAGTGCACAAGAGTCGTCAAGGAAATTCGGGAAATAGCGAGAACTTTTGACACGTACACCTTTGCGACAACGATTCTCTGCCTTTTCTTCTTACCTCTGTAGATATTGTTCCCCTTCGGATTCATTCCTTCTAGTTTCTTAATTTTAGTCGTTCCGTAAGACATGCGCCTCGGTTGGTCGGCATTGTCTTCGTGAGAAAATGAGCTGATGCACATATTTTCACGAATTTTCCTCTAAATTTCCACATAATTTTTCACAGTTTTATCCCCTTTGAGTACCCTCGTCTTTCGATGATTTCTCTTTGAACATTACTTATATCTCACCTCGGATGAGTCCTCAATTTCCCAAGGTTCCAACTTATCCAGGATTTCATTTCCTGGAGAATTTCCTCCCGTCAATTTGTGGCTTTTACGGATTTTGAAAAGCCCACTTTCCGATTAACGAGTTACCTGGAAAGTGTAATTTCTCAGCGGGGGAGTTAATTACTTCCCAACGAGATAAATCGATCGCCGTTCGAAACGACGTCAGTCCGTGTAATCCCGGGGCGATATCTACCTTGATTTCCTAAAATCCTTAATATTTTCTATTCATCTCAGTCCCTTATCGTAAATTTCCTCCCATTAATCGCAGAATTTGGTCGAGTCCCGAAGACCTTTCAAGTCACCTGACTAACAAAGATGGATTCGATTTTCCGGGACATTGTTCCTTGAAGATTCGTCAATTTCCAGGGTATTCGTTTGCTTCCTTTCGAAGCCCCCTTTCCGTCCGTGAGTTGCGGGGAAATTGGAACTTACCATAGCGACAGAGCATACAAATCACTTATCAACAGGGAAATAACTCGTTCACGAGCAATCTCTGCCGCAGACAATACTTGCTGATTCTACGTTAGCAAATTATCCTTTCCCGTGCAGTTCCAGTGTTTGCTCTCCTCCATAGAGAGGATCTCCTCTCGCCATTGATTTCCCTGGATATTCGGATACTTTTTGTTCGACACCAGACACTTCTCAGTGCAAGTAAATGTCCGAATCTCCGTCCCTTGAGATTGATCCATCCTCGGATGGCCGAGAACGTTGCCCCCCGTCGACTCCTCGCGTTCGGTCGTCTTCGTTTTCATTTCATCCCTCTCTCTTTCTCTTTTTTTTTCTTTTTTCGGATTTGCGGAACGTCGCCTACGATCTCTTCGGTTCTACGCACATTATCTCAACTGCCCCAAAAGGAATGCCAACGTCAGCAGAACTGTCCTCGAAGAGGGAGATCCTGCCGCCGTGCTCCCGTGCTGCATCGCCGCAGGATGCTCGCCTGAAAAGCAAACGGCGGAACGTTATGAAATTCATTTTGGTTAAATCTTCCTAAGTTAAAGAGCGTTTCCTCTTATTAAAAGCTGTTCCGTTGGGCGGAAAAAGAGGCTCGCGGTTTGAATCTCGCCGAGTCCTTGTACACGCGGAACGAACAGCTGGAGAGAGGAGTTTAATTCCTGGCGCTGTTAAATTATCACTTTTCTAAGAGTAGATCCCGCGACTCATTGTAATTATAATTTTTAAAGGGTCGTTACTTAAAATAAATATGTGTAAATATCAGAAAGTTATATTTATGGGCACTCTTGAGTGGCAAATCCCCAAAGGAGAGGGAATTATTAACCAGCGAAATTATTATTTCTCAGAGGCTCGTAAGCGGATAATATTAATCATTGCCTTTCAAAATTTCGGAATATTATTTCAAACCTTCATTTATCCGGGAAATTAATTTCAGATCTGCTCTAGGTAGAATTGTAACAATCGCCACGTGGTATGCGATTTCTTACATGACGTTATATTAAATGGACGAAAATCGGTTAATCAGAGAATTTACCGAGCAGTTTCCGCAACTTTGGAAGTATCCTTCATGATTTGAAATAATTTATCTTAGGAAATTTACGAAGTACACGAAATGGTAGATGGAGAGAAACGAGCGGTCAAAGTCACATCAAAACGTACAATTCATATTAATTTAATACTGGCGAAGGTGGATTTTATTTATTCAGTAAACTATGTGTTTTTAACAAAAATAAAGTAACGTTTCGACGAGATTTTCAACAAATATTTCAGATATCTTCGAATGAAATCTACAAGAAATCTTAAAAAAACTGTCGCTTGAGATATTTAGCAAAGATTACAAAGAAATATTTAGTAATTATTCTATGCTACTAGGGATTATTCGTTTTATAACAGGGTTATATAGCTGCGGAGGAAATAATAATACGAATCTTACTTTAATATTATATATAAGTTACGTTATATGTTACAAACGTTATGTAACGGTTATATTATTGTTACGTAGCGGTGTTTGGTGGGAACTTTGAAAGTAGCATTTCATTCTGGGGGTTTCTCGATTTTAACGTCTCTGGATACATCATTTCATACGGTAGGAGATATGAGAGCGGCTCAACCATTACATTTCCATTTATTCTCTGTCTGTGCAGATATCCATAACCCCAATTGCAAATTGTATTCCTACTTCGTCCACTAGGGACCCTAGGGAGTCGAACTGAAAAGATCCTCGCCTCGCACCACGGCAAAACCCATTTTCAAATTTATTCGAAAACAAATGGCATGCCCGCTCGAATGAAATCCCAGGAAACGAATCTCAAACTGGCCCACTCGAACTTTCTCTCTCGCTTTTTATTTCTCGCTTACGTATAGCACGAAATTACCCGGTTCGACGATGAGAGTGGCCTCCGGACTTTTATTTCCACCCGGCGTTTTCATTTTGTAATTTCAATTTTCTCTGCCGAGCAAACGAGAAACACGCGTTACTCATTCGCTTCGACGAGTTTCTGGTTTTCGATTCCAGCGAGCGAATTTAGTCCCGGCTCTTCGTTCTATTTCCCGATTTTTCAGGCGCATTTTGTAAACACGAGGGAACGGAATATATGGTTTATGAATTTTTACAACGATCTTTCGGTCTCGGGGGCTGACTCAAAGGATGAATCGGATTAATTGAAACCACATGGAAATAATAATTTGGTTGCAATTACTATAGGGACGTGGTTAAAGTACTGTGGGAAGTAAAACCACACAAATGGTGAAATTGACCATATGAAATGGTAAATGTAACCTTGCGAATACGTACTGTATCCATCGAGCTGTGGTTAAAGTTGCAGGAGGGATCACCATTTGGAATGGTAATATTTATTAGTATATATATAAAGTACTGAAGTAGCTAGATCCTCTAATAACAAATGAAAAGTGTTGCAACTAATTATATGGATGTTGACGTAATACCATTTTTTAAGGATGGCCTAACTTTTCGACGTTGGAAATTCTCCATGACAAATTTGATGTAGAAGAGAAACAAGGGTGATGTCTAGTTTTTAAAAATTGAGAGACTACTTAAGGTTAAGGTAAGATTATAGTTACGTATTCTCCAAGCCGCGCTGGTAAGAGAAAATAAGCAACAAAATCGTTACGCTGGAAAATGCTCGTTAGCTCAGAATTACAAGAGGCGAACTTGAAGGTAGGTATAGAAAGCGCAAATTTCACGTCCACGTCAGCCAAGTACAGCCAAGAAGCAATATCTCTCGTAATTGCATTTTCTTCTGATGCATCTACGTCACCAACAGTTATTAACACGAAGTAAAACATCTATTTTTATATTGCCCTCCTTATAATGGCGCCTAGTAGCTGCAGTTAAATAGAATCTACTCTAAATTTGAAAACTGAAATTTTATTTTTTTTTGGTTCGAAAGTTGCATATAGCTACACTGAATAAAAAGAAATCGATGGAAATTTACATGCATTTTTACACCCTACATAACTGAAGATTTACATAAAAAACGTGAAGTGGAAAAATTACAAACCAGGAAATGTATAAATACCCGTGACGTTGAATATTTCCTGCATTTTTATTTGAATTAAATGTAACATTACGTTGTCATTTTTCTCGAGGCATTGATGCGGATTAATATCCGCTGCTGCGTAGAAATACATATTGAGATGTAAACTTAACCAATTAGATCGTCTAAATTCAATCATGGGATCCCTACGCGTCTTCTCGTTTGAGAACAATGCCAAATGCGTCGACACGGCGTGACGCATAATTAATTGTTAAGGGCGTTTGGTCGTTGAAGATTCAGACAATTTTCAGAGCTAACTTACCTCAGTCTAGCGGTATCGAATTGACGCGAAAGAAGTAAGTACCTCCACAGGAAAGTGTCTTACAATTATGGTTACGTTTTCACGTAGAATATGTTTTAATAAGTTTACGTCTGGGTTACCATATTAGGCCCATCGATATTATCACCGATTGGAAGATTACCCCCTAAATTTACTCGTACAATGTATATCAGTTATACATTTTATATGTAATATTGCCCTTCATGTTTACATATCAAATGTCCGCCTACAATACATTCTTTGGGTAAATTTAGATGCCGAATGTTACATTCCCCAGATAATGTAATTTGGCGTTATTAATAGTAGGATGAAAATACCTAACGATCTCGTGTGTAAATTTTCATGGGAATTTTTTTCAGTGTACCTAATTAAATCGACCCCACCCACCTGGATATATACCACTTTGGCTGCGCAATTGTATATTTTCCATGATTAATTTAAATGAATGTAGTTCTCTCTGCGGTAATTATAATGAAGTGTCCCAGGGTGGAAGTTGCCCCTGAAGCAAGAATGCCAATTTTTTCCTCTTATTTACGCTTAACAAGGTACCCGATTAGAGTACCTCTTATCCCAATTGAGGCGAACATGAAAGTTAACATTTCTCCTTCCGTATTCCACTCCCATATTGTACGGAAGCCCGTTTCGAAGCTATATGGGGTAGGAGGGTACTGATGCAGAGAATCGTCTTTACGAGCGAGTACTGCTCTCGTTGGGTTCCTGCGAATTGGCCTTAATGCACATGCAACGATCTCTCGTCAACGTCAATGTATGATTTGCACTTGTCATCGTGGCATGTGAGATGATTGGGCACGGCATACAGGAGTCTTACCGGAAATGGCGTATAAAACAGGGGTTTCTGGAAAAATATGTTGGCTCGACGAGCCGGTAAAAAAAGTAGGTACAATGCGTGCGCTGCTGCAAGATTAATTTCACATTCCCGCAAAAAGGAACATTGGGATTGCATCCCTTAGTAGCTATCTACAAACGTGACCAAAAGGAAAGCGCATGGATCCATATCAAATGAATTCCACAGTTAATTGCAATTTATCAATTTATATCTCCCAGATGAAAACCACAGAGACATATCCTGACCGACAAATCCCTTGAACCCTCCACCTTATTACTGGATTTCGATTGCTTTCTACGGAAAAATGCAGTTCTAGAAAGTCACACAAAGAGGATCACCTCTTGATTGCAATGATTTAAGGTGTTATCAAGGCATAATTATGAAATTATATACATAACTCCCGACAAGTCCGACATGTTGAAGCCAACGGCAACTACGCCAACCAGAATCTCTCACGTAGGTTGTCTAGGTACTCATTAACGTACTTCCAGCTATACCGGCTCGGAATTAATATTCATTCTCCGGTGATCCGTCCCTTCGCGAGGTACAGGGAAGCTGCAGGTCTTTCGGGACTCTGACCAACTCGGCTTCTGCAAATAACCCATTCGAGGACTCGTCTCGCTTTCGTAAGAAATTTATAAGGTCGTCCCGGTCTTGTTATAAACATTCAGAAAAGCTTCGTTGATGGCCATACCTCCCGCTCGCACGAAGCGTTCCGGCCAACGACGTTTCGACGATATTAAAAAACGTTCTTCCGCTCGCGGCTGCGAGGAGCCAGGATGGATGAACGGGAACGCGCTTTTGAAAGGGATGTTTTTCGTTTATTTTCAGACCCGAACCGAAACAACGGCCCGGCTGAAATGGCTGTGGGCGGAAGCGCGAAGCTTGGAACCCGGATAGATATCTGCATCCTCGGATACGTACATACGGGGATATTCGCGAGCGAGTGCGAGCACTCACACTAGTGCCGGCTCCGAATGCGCCAACTCGGTTGCGTCCCTATTTACCTCGACGGGTACGACGGGTCCGGGAGGAAACAGGTGTAGGAGTGCACCTGAAGGTGCATTCGCCGATCCACCGCATCGCGTGCTCGCTTTTCGTCCACGAGCTCTTAGTGCCTCGAAACCGTAAAGTCGAGCCAGCTAATCGGGCCGCCCTTATTCTCGCCGCTGCCCCAAGAGAAGACGAAGCTAATTCCGGAACGCTTACTCCGACGCAGACCAGCGGTCGCTCAGAATTCGTCTTTTCTCTTTAAGTCCCTCGCTCGCCGTAATTCGCTCCCGAGGCTGGAGACGAAGCGC